CATTGTCCTTCAGAGCTTTAATCATGTTGCTGCCGCTGTCAGTCGTCATGCAAATGAGTCGGTCTTCGGCAAGGTTCCATGAGTTTAGGGCATCTTTTAGTCCCTGGGCTATAATTTCACCTGTGTGGTCCTCTGGAAAGCATGCCGTTTGGAGGCAGACACCCCGCAGAGTCCAGTCGTTGTTAATAAAGTGCACAGTAAGACTTATATACGGCTGCATCGTCCGACTCGACCATCAATCTGTGGTGGCAGAATAAAAGGACACCTCTTCAAACTCCTTTGCGACCCGTTGTCTTGTGCTATTATATAGCTGAGGCAAGGCAACTTCGGAGAAGAACTTTCTGCTTGGTAACATATACCTGGGGTCCAAAACTTTAATCATGTTAATAAACCCCGGCTTTTCCACCGTATATATTGGCACCATATCCCTTGCTATATACATACCGACCGCATCTGTAATGGCTTTCCAGCGGGCCGAATTCTTGTCATATGGGATGCAGTTTGAAAATGTTTGTGTTACGGTGGACTGTATTTTTGCGGCTGTGCGTGAGGTGCTTGTAGTGCCACGGTCTTTTTCATTCCGCTGCGCGCAACATTTCTCCCATTCAGCAGGATGCTTTTGTTTGAGGTGCTTCTGTAAATTTGTCATACTGCTGCCTTTGCTAGCAACAGACTTCAAATATACTTTGCAACAGACTTCAAACATACTGACCTCGCGAACGCAAACCAATTCCAAATAACGGATAACACCGTGCCTTTCTTTGGAACAAGTTCTTCCCTGCTCGTTGTCATGTTGTTTGTGTATCACTCTATTTGGTAAATGCGCGCACTGTGCGGGGGAGGGCTGAGCCCATTCCGAACTACGGGAGCCCAGAGGGAAGCGTTGGCGGATGTTGAAGAGAAAACCGATTTTCATTTAAACAAGTCGACGTGAACTACACACTCGAGTTAATCGATAAAATCGATTTATCGCCCAGCCCTAGCACAGGTGCTAGCAACCAGCTTCATCACACCTCCAGGTATGCGCACCGCACGCTTTCCTCGAACCCTCACAGTGCCAGTTGGGTTCCCAAGAACCTGAGCAGAAGACTGGTGGCACTCCTGTAGAGCTGCAATGACTGTGACAGGTGCCTGTGTCACAGTGGGTGAGTCAAAGAGAGAGAGAGAGACCAAAGGTACCAAAGAGTTCTCGATAGCATCGGCGAATCACATTCATCCCCAGGATTCCAGGGACAGAAGACACTGCACCAGGGGGGTCTTTAACAACAAGAATCCCACAGCTGGCCATCTCCTTGCCACACAGTTCGATATCTAGCTCCAAGTAGCCAATATATGGAATGAAGTTGGCTGCTCGCAGCTGTAGCCAGTGACAGGAGCGAAGGCGATCGTTGCCCCAAGGTGCAAAATGCGACAAGAATACACTTTCCGTGAGTATGGACACCATGGAACTAGTGTCCACCAAGCAGGTAACAGTTACACCTCCTATCAAGACATTTATGTTTGGGCAAGGAGCAATCAAGTCGACCGTTGCACTTTCCTGTGAGCCTGTGGTCTCCCCAACTGAGCTGTGACTCGAAAGATCAGAGGGCTCTAGTTTTCCGCCTGGTGGGATGAATGGGATGGCCTAGCAGCACTGGAGTTTACGCCAGCATCAGGAAAAGCACCTGGCCGGGAGGGAACCCGCTCACCTTCACACTCTCAAGCAAAATGGCCAGGCTGCTGACACCTTCTGCAGATCAAAGGACCATTACGGGACGTTTGACCTTGGAAGCGAGGGGCCTGTAGGGAGGCTACAGTCTGGGTGAGTTGGTTAAGGTGTTCTTGCTGACGCTTCAAAAGGTCCATCAGGTCACTCAACCCTGGCTCAGGCGGAGTGACATGAGGAGGGGGTTGGAAGCGTCCCTGCACCCCATACTGAAACCCATAAGCAGATGGCAAAGAAGAGCTGCGCGCCCTGGCATCCCCTGGAAGACCCTCCCTCTCCCACCTAATAGCCTCACCACGAAGGTCCAGCAAGGTGGTATGCTGCTGGCGACGGATAACTTGTTTGAGCTCCCTGCGAAGAGAACTGTCAAGAACGTGCTCAATGAACTGATCACGTAGTAGGATATCTGTGTTGGGCATCCCATCAGGTGCATGTTGCATGACCTGAGCCATTAAAGCCATAAGGGCTAAGGAGTACTCCTGCAGGGTCTGACCTTCGAGTTGGTGACGAGAAAAGAAAGCCTGTTGTAAGGTGACGTAAGACTGAGCACAACCATATAGCTCCTTTTAAGATAGCGAGCACCCGGGTCTCCTCGCTCTGCACTAGTGCAAAACTTGATCTCTTCTTTGGCTTCGCCCTCAAGATGATCAAAGAGGAATAGGGCTTGGACGGCCGCAGAAAGATGGCGGGCACGCGCACAGGCCTGCACCTCCTCTGACCACTCAGCTATGCTTATGCCTGTCTTTCCATTAAACATGGGACATTTACGGTCCCTTGGGATAACAACTAGCCGCTCAGTGACAGCAGCAGCAACACCCGCAGACGGGGCCTGACTAACCGGAGCAGAAGAGGAAGAAGCACCACCAGAGTCCGCCAGGGAAACAGTACGCTCCTGACAAAGTCGCTCGTTGTCTGCGCTAAGCTCATACACTAGGTCCTGGAGCTGCTGCATCTCCTCCTCCATAACGACTGGGGAAAGCTACACCAAAGCTAAGGAAATGGTATGGAGGTGTTAATTTGGGGATTACACACACACACACTGCTGTTTTGGCTCTATAATCAGTGAAAATACAGAAAAAAAATACAATACAACAAGACACACTCACTGCTGAAACTGCTAAACACAATTTAGCAAAAAAAAACTAAAACATGTCTCTGCCCTTTTTATGTGGCTATCCTGCCGACAACGCCAAATGTGACGGTGTGGTGTAGTTAAGGGTTTGTGTTGCCAACAACGCCACCTAAGGGAGTTTCACCCCTAGGAACTAACTATTGATTATAAAAGATTGAACCCACAAGGAACACAGGTTCGTTTTACGTAACGGGCCAGAGACAGTTTCAGTTACAGTTAACACAATTACTTTATTTTATAAAAATCAATTAACTATTCTAAAAACACCAGATACACATAATACAATCAGCTAAAAGTTCATACTGGGGCATAGGAGGTACAAGACAGGGCTGGGGCTTCGAGTTCCCGGAGAGCCCGAACCGCTTCAAAGTCCAGAAGGGGGGGGGGGAGGGGGCACGTCACCAGCCACGGAGCTCGCAAAGCAACAGCAAGTTTATCCCAGCAGTGAGTCACTGCAAAGAGCCAAAACAGCAGGACCAGTTGTCCGAAGGTGGGCCTAACAATTAATAGCACCCCTGAAAAGGGCACAGGTACATATCATATTATTTAGAGGCCAAATAAACACATGGATGTCAATAACTGAATTTACAGGTTCCCATACATACAATCTATTCAGCCACAGCACAGCACCCGAGCCGTCAGGGGAGAGAGGCGCACAGGCCATGGCAAAATCCCGCTGCAGCAATAAATATAAGATAAGCCAAGTGTCAGGTGATAAAGGGAGGCAGACAACGGCAACTCACCAGGTGATAACAACACTGCGCCCAGGGGAGTCTTCAGCGGAGCAATTTCTCCGCCACCGCACCGGCAGTCAGATGCGCTGTCCGGATGAAAGTGTTGCGAAACGGCTGCCACGCCAAACAATTCATTTAGGCCACGCCGTGCTCCAGCCACCAGCGAAGGAGTTGACAGGTGAGTCACGAGCTACGCCACACCCCTGTATTCATACTTCCGGCGCCGCCCAGTAGTGACAAATGCGCGGAGGCGCATGGCACAGTGCCGTGCAGCGGTACGGAGGGAGAAGACCTCCTGTCACATCTGCACTTTACATACATTTGATGAAAAAAATGCGTGTGAATGTTCATCTGTGTGCGTAGGATACTGTTTAGCGTAGCTTACCATAAAGCTACACTACACAGCTATGTGTGCTAGCTACAATAGCTTCAATCCTGAGTTCAGCCTAAAGTTAGCCAGCTAACCTGCTGCTCTAACGTTATGACCCAAATGTATCCGGTTTCCATGAAGAAGAGTTTTCCTGTGGACATCTGGATAGTTCCATATAATGTATTGTTACCTTGATAAATTGTTCAGTGTCTTTTTAGAAGTGTTGCCATGACAACAGTTGAGGGACAGCTGGCATCCAGCATTACTTGGAGATGTGTTGTAAACAGAACACCTATTATCACCTTACTTTTAGCCAACTATTGTGTTTACACTTGGACACGGTAATCCAATCTTTTGAAGGGGGCTAGATCATTCATTATTGATGATGCATATATCGAAGGGGGCTCATTGGTGCTCACAGGGAATATTGAATGATCTGTCACATACATCTACACCAGCATGTCCTTTTTAAAGTGAACATGGTGGTGACTTTGCTCCATCGGTGCAGGATGTAATTGATTTCATTTGCAAAGATATGCGCTCTTGGTGTATATCACCTGTCAAAGTAGTCCTAGGATATTTGATGGTTTTTTGGATGCTTTCCTTAAACTAGAACAAATTATTGAATTACATTGACTTGGTTAAAAGTATTTTAATATAGGGCAATATATTAAATCATAACCTACTGTATCGCCAACATCTTTATTTTAATTTAATGTATTTGTACCTGTAGGTAGATTTGGTTTAATCTTTAAGGGAAAAATGTGAAAATGAAAATCAAATCAAAAACCTTTTTTCTCAGACTGTGTTAATACTGTATAATATTCTTCCTCTGGTTACCACTGGCATTTTGCTGACAGTATCCATGCCAACAGTATAACTGACAACTCCTGTCTTATCTGACATGATGTGTTCTGGCACTGTTATGAAAATGTTCCGGGATCTCTCACATTATCTGCTGATTAATCCTTATAGTCTGGTATTCTCCTGACCCCAGCTTTAGAATTCTATCCTTGCTGCTGACACCACTGACAGTCTCTGTGTGTCTCTCTTCCTCAGCCTGTGGAACCCCCCCTCCCTGAGCGATGGCCTCACCTGTCTCAGTCTACAACTCCAACGCCTTGGACACACACATCTCCAGCGTGAGTGGATTTATGCGTGTCTGTTTGCTATATCTGGTCCGGTGCATCTGCGACGACAATGTGTGCCAGCTTGTTCATGTTTGAAATATTTAAATCTGGAGAAGGATACTCAGCTGGTGAGATCCCTCTTCCTTCACTGCAGAGATATAGGTTACTGTGGCAGTTTTTACATGGAGGGAAGCCAGTGAGGGATCAGATCCTGGTCTCTGTAATAGCTCACCTACTGAATGGTCACGTTTTCTCAACAAGAAAAGTCCAAATTGTTCAATTATATGATCATCGCCATCTAATGAAAACACATACTTTTACCTATTATTTTAAATGTTCACGTCTTTAACCAAAATGTGTGTAAAAGTTGACATAAAAAAAGTAAATGGCTGATGGATTGGTCACATTTTATTACTTCCAAGCAGACCTGGAATGCTGGAGGCTGCAAAAATGGACTAAAAGTCAGTAAATATATTTATTCAGCAAGTGCAGAAAGAATCCTCTGTGAACCGTGTTAGTCAGTTGCTCTATGAATGAATGTCCTATATGTACTATTGTTCATTCTGTTTTAGTGCACAACAAATTAAGAGTCTGCATATGTGATGAATTGCAATCATAAAAACTGACTCCCATTAATGGTTAAAGACTTGCGGCAGTCATTTTGAATCTTAGTCTTTTCATTCTACGATAAGATGTGATTACACTCCATTTTCCAATGAAGTGTAAAACTTTTTTTTACAGCAGCACCAAGGGCAAATATTTAAGACGCGAAACAAAGAAACAGACATTTACCATACCATTAAAATCACTAAAGACAATATGTTCATGACCTTTTAATGTACATTTGATCTAGGATTATTCAAATACAGTATCATTGTAAACAGTCCCCAGCTGGATTAAAACAAGTGTTTAGCTCATGGAGTGCCTTGAATTGAACACATCCTTTCCTTTTTGATCCTTGTTATTTAGAAAGATGAATAAACATTGTATTTAAATCCCAAATTAAATCAATTAAATATAAGGTCCCGAAGAAGAACACTGGGTGTTTCTCAATGTCGAGTACGCTTGCTTGGTAGCACATGTCTTCCGAGCGTCTTGCTTCAGAAGCGAGGCGAGAATACTTCCTGGCATTCGGAAAACGAAGAGTGGAACAGGCTAGCAAGTGTGCAGGTGTGCGTCATATGAGAGGCCCCGCCCTACATTTTCCGCCACAGATTTGGGGAAATTGGTCTGTGCGCAAAGCATTGTGGGGATTTTAAGACCGGAGTCTACACATGTGTAGCCTCGAAATTTCTCCAAACGAAGTACGCCGGGCTCTGTAGAATTCCAAGTATGCTGGACATTGGAACAGTCCTTCGGTGGCACTCGATGATGTAGCATGCTTGAAATAGTGGCTCTGGAGCAGCTTTACTCGACATTGAGAAACACCCCCTAATTAAAATACCAATAGTGAGGCTCTGAAGTAAAAAATAATCATTTATAACTCCAAATATGGATGAGAAGCAGCAGTGTCAAATCCTCTGTCACAGCTTGTCAGCTCGACATCTTAAAAAGGAAGAGTGCTGTGTTCACAGTGTCTCGTCTCACTGAACACTAAGTCCGACCTCACTTGAACTAGCTCAAGCAAATTGCCCTTTCTCCACCATTTGTTCCCTCTGTGGTACTTCAACTGAAAAAAAGGCACTTAATTTTACCGCCTCTTTGAGCTACTGCCATTTATTCTATGAATTTCTCTGAATGCCTGGTCTTCTGTGTGTGTTTGTAGTCCTCCAGAGAGTCTCTGAAGATGGAGTTGTTAGCTGATGTGTCCCTGCTGCCGGGGGAGGAGAGAATTATAGGTGAGTACATATAGCTCAATAAAATGAAAGTGTGAAGGCATGCACATGACTCAGTGGATAAGGCCTTGAAGGTGTGTGTTTGATCTTGGGATCATTTGTGTTTGTTCACTTTACACAGCTTAATTGATGTGGTTTATTACAATGGTATGATCCCAAAATAAAGAAGATGTTGCTATGATAATGTAAACAAATGCTGTCGAATTAACTACACTAATATCTTGATTTTATAAAAAGTATGAATTTGTGCTTTGTCAGGACTTTCCAAAAGACCAGAAACATTTTATTCTGCTTTTTTTTGGGGGGGTTTCCTTCACCTTTAGTGGTTAATGTGCATGTTAATAGTCTGCAAAGGCCAAAATCCCTGTGTTCTCTCAAGATTTTGTTTCTTCTGCACACGTTATTAGTGAAGGTGATGTTATAGTTTTAGCCATTATTGCTAACACCTTGTGTACATCAGCCGCGTAGCCAAATCAGCATACAGTAGTTTGATTATCATCTATCTTCATGAAAGTAAATTATTTAATTAGAATGTGTTGTAGTGAATGTCACCAAGTTCATAGCTCTGACTAATTACATTCTAATTATTATGATTTAGTTGCCTGTTGCCGAGTGGGACGGTCTACAATTATACCCTCAGTGGTCACGCAGAGTGGATGTATTTATAGCCTACCTTAGCTGCACGCTTCTCTTCTCTGTTTTCGCTTCCTCTCCTCCTCAGATGGTTTCTTCCCTCACACTGCCTACCAACTGTATAATGATTTCCAAAGCACAGTGCTAGTGAGGGATCTGTAAGATAAAACATGAGAGAAGGTGGAATGTATAAACAATATTTGTCTCCATCTGTTTCCAGATAAAGAAACCATCTACATCTGTCCGTTCAGTGGAGCGGTGAAGGGAAAGGTGTTGATCACCAACTACAGACTCTACTTCAAGAGCTTAGATCCTGTAAGTCGTTTTAAACTCAAGATTGTGTGTGTGAGTGTCTGTGTGTTTGGCAGATGAAGGTCTTCAACATGTCTCTTTTTTCCATAGAATTTTCGAATATTGCAGAAAATAATCTCTGTGGCAAACGCATATTTGTGATACTTACAAGTTTTGTTCAGCATGGTAATCTCTACATATTTACACCATTTTATGATTTTTGAAGCGTAAGTGCAATGGCCAGAAGTCAAAAGCTAACTCTACGCATTCAAATAACGACATCACGGTCACATGGCTGCCAACGCTAAGTTAACGGTGGACTCGTTTTCAGCTTTATTACTTTTAGTAGTCCAATTTAGTCACTTGTTTGCAATCCCCATTTTTATTACGCGTAAAAGCTTTGGAAATTCATCACTGAGGTATTTACTGATGTATTTTATGTCGTAGAACGAAACATAACATCTCTTCAGCTTGTGTTAGCAACAGATCTAATTTAAGCATCTACAGTACCGCTCAAAAAACGTTGGGGGAAACATTTGAACTCTTTCGGGTTTTAGGACTCATTCCTGCACCACTCTATTGCTCTGGTCTGTTGTTACAGGGGGCGTGTGGCGCAGTGGATAGAGCCTTGGTGTTGGGATCAGGGGGTCACAGGTTCAAACCCCACTGCAGTCAGCACGTTGTGTCCCTGGGCAAGACACTTCACCCCAAATTGCTCCTGTGGGGATTGTCCACAGTATTGAGTATGTAAGTCGCTTTGGATAAAACAAGTAACATGTAATGTAATGTTACAGACTGAAGCCCCATTACAGCAGTTATCTGTTATCCTCACAAGTGTAACTCATCGTTCCAGAAGATATTTGAACTATAGGGAGATTACAGGAAGTGGTGTGACACACAGACATTATTGCCCTACAGACATTTTTTACATAATTATGTCATTTCATACTGAACTGATAAGAAAATAATGGCGGGTCATGCTGCTCTTCCTGTGGGAAAACTAAATCTGAGATCCACTTAAAGCACAGGATTTAAATTAAGGGAAAACCATCAAGTTCACAGAAAACCCAAAGGGAATTGCGGGTCACACTATTACTGGGGTTGTGATCAAAAAGAAAGAGGGTATTAAGTTCCATAACCAGAACAGGTACTTTTAAAATCACCCCACGTCTTCTTTGGAATAATATTCATTCTGAAAGAACCTTATATAACATGGATTTATGTGAAACAGTCAAAAATAATGTCCTGTTCTCCAAAACTTGCACTCTGTATGAGTAGGTAACATTATGGATATGATGATGCTGTGGTATTCAGAATCAGGTTCATTGCAAAGTATGTTTTCATATTTGATACAAGACATTTGCTTCTGTGTATAATGGCTCAAACATAAACATACTGTAATGAGATAAATTAAAATGTAAATTTAAGCAAATAAATAAATATTATAAAAACTTAAAAAAAACAAGTCTGAACATTTGTATACAATAACACATAATACAAATGTACAAAAAGGTGAAGAAGAATAAGGATTTGAGGAGCTTTTTTGCTTTGAAAGTGGTAGTATTGTGCAGAAATGTGCAAAATATACCAATTAATGTGCAGAGGTAAAAAGTATGATTGTTGGACACAGAACAGACACACGGGGTGTTTCTCAATGTCGAGTAAAGCTGCTCCAGAGCCACTATTTCAAGCATACTACGTCATCGAGTGCCACCGAAGGACTGTTCCAATGTCCAGCATACTTGGAATTATACCGAGGCCGGCGTACTTCGTAGCGAGAAATGTCTAGGCTGCACATGTGTAGACTCCGCGGTCTTAAAATCCCCACAATGCTTTGCACACGTACCAATTTCCCCAAATCTGTGGCGGAAAATGTAAGGCGTGGCCTCTCATATGACGCACACTTGCTCGCCTGTTCCACTCTTCGTTTTCCAAATGCCAGGAAGTATTCTTGCCTCGCTTCTGAAGCAAGTGACTCGGAAGACATGTGCTACCAAGCAAGCGTACTCGACATTGAGAAACACCCACAGACTTGGAAGACATATTTTAAGATGAGGAGTGCTTGTCATTAATATATTTTTAATGTTTACATTTTTTACACAGACAAAGCAGGCATAATAGCTTCAGGTTTTCTTAGATCCAGCTGTGCCCTTGTGTGATTTAGAAGAGATACTGAACTGGTTATGAAGGTGCGGAGACACATGATTATCCACTCGCAGACAGAAAGATCTCATCTGGATGCACAGTCTGAAGCAGATTCTTTTAACAATTAAGTTCCTCAATGTCTGCCGTGGATAAAAACCATCAGCAGTTGATTGCCTGCTGCATAGTAATACAATTAGTTAGAGATGAACCTCCATGTGAATTATTTCTAATAAGAAAGTCTGAGTGTAGCTGAGGTCTATCTAAGGTCGCAAGAGTATCTATGTATGTCTAAAGTTTCCTCTCTTTTACATATGTATGGGGTCATGAGAGCATTTGATATATTTCATATATACATATATTTACGTTGTAGGGACTCTGAAACAACTCATATTAATATATAAATAATGCTATTTTCATTCATCATTTGGTGCTTGTGTGTGCTGCTGTTTGTTGTAGGATGTGGCACTGACGCTGGACGTCCCTTTGGGTGCCATCGGTCGGGTGGAGAAGATGGGCGGGGCTTCGAGCAGAGGGGAAAACTCCTACGGCCTGGACATCACCTGCAAGGTGTGTGTGTGTGTGTGTGTGTGTGTGTGTGTGTGTGTGTGTGTGTGTGTGTGTGTGGTGTGTGTGTGTGTGTGTGTGTGTGTGTGTGTGTGTGTGTGTGTGTGTGTGTGTGTGTGTGTGTGTGTGTGTGTGTGTGTGTGTGTGTGTGTGTGTGTGTGTGTGTGTGTGTGTGTGTGTGTGTGTGTGTGTGTGTGTGTGAAAAATAAGGAATGTTATTGACTGCTAGCTAGGCTGCCCTCGACTAACCAGTAGTTCTTTAGTCGACATCTTTTTATGATATATTATGATTTTTAATATACCACATATCTTTTTTTTTTTCTGGTTTCAGTTCCAGGGCTGAGAAATAACATTCTTAGTAACATCATTGTACGTTGTGTCTCTAAAAGATAATAGCCTTTGAAATATATAATAAATGTACACCAGAACAAGCAAACACACTTAACATTTAGTTAATATATTCTCTCAACACAGTATAACATAACCTACATCATCACTCACACAACTTTTGGATGTGTAACTAAGTTGTAACGCCAATAAAATCATTAAAAAATAGGGAAAATGAACATTTAATTTTATATTTAAAGGAAAATAAATATTAAAAAAACTATTAATACCGAGCAAACAGAAACAGTATGCCCATTGCAACAATTCCTCTGCCCATTATGCACTCATTATGGAATACATTTCAATTTTTTCTGAGGCAAGAATTATTAGTCATTATAATGATATAAGCAAGGGTGCACATAACTGGTACGCATGCGCGGCAAAAATCTGAATTGCGTAACGTCACTTGTGTCACTACGCGCCTTTGCGTACCTCAAAACAAAACACATATTTCGTCTACACGTGTTTCTTGTCAACACTCAATGGAGTAAACTACGAGACATGTAAAAAAAACCCAAAGACATTAAGCAGCTACGTTGCAGTTTCGCTCCCTGCACAAACTCTTCGGTATTTCTGTGACTGATTGAACTGGGGCTGGTCGCGCCGCGCAGGGCATAACCGACGGACATGTGAAGCTTTACAAGAGGCAGAGGCTTAGATCACCGGACAACAGAGTTGGTCGCCGTGTGCACAGACGTCGGTATGAACAATAGAATTGTGCCAAAACTCCTTCAACTGGCTGCAGTGGGAGACTCCCCTGTGCACATTCTGTGCCCTGCGCGCACACTGGAGGACTGCGCAATATCAGCTGATCACAACGTTCACGCTCTGTGGTCAAGCTGCTGCAGTTTTATTTACACCAAAGTGGAGTAAAACACACAGTTGCAAACTTCCTCAGGGTGTTATGGAAGAGTTTGAAATCAGACAGAGGTGGAAGAAGTACTCAGATCTTGTACTTGAGTAAAAGTAGAAGTACCAGAGTGTTACTCTGTTACAGTAAAAGTCCTGCATTCAAAATGTTACTCAAGTAAAATTAGAAAAGTATTCTCATCAAAATATAGTTAAAGTACCAAAAGTAAAAGTAGTCATTGTCATTGTCCATTTCAGAATAATATATATGATATGTTTTGTAATGATTGATCATTAAAGTGTTCTCAAAGCTGGTAAAGGTGCAGCTAATTTTACAAATTAGATCAAAGTCAAGTAAAGTACAAATATCTCAAAATTGTACTTAAGTACAGTACTTGAATAAGTGTACTTAGTGACTTCCCACATCTGAAATCAGATGTGACTTCAAGTCATGTGATCATTTCTTAGTATTTGATCCTTCAACTTGGCCTCAGGAAATGCAAGGACTTCACAGTTTTGGCAACAAGTTTTGGAGAAAGCAAATCGGAGGCTTAAAAAGAGACAGGGAGGTGCATCTTCATCATCTATCATGCAAGAAGTGTAAATAGAGGACAGTGAAGGAGACATTGAGGAGGACCACGTTTCGTGTGGGGTGAGTACCAAACGCTGTCTCCTGGTACTCATCTGAGTAACGGCCCGTCTACACTACAGGCGTCAAAAAATGCTTTCAACGCTTCGCCCATTCATTTGAATGGGGTGACGTAGGATATTTTCAAACTTCGCCGAACTGCATTGTGGGTAGCATGGCAAGGCGTTGCAAGCATCGCGAGCGTCTATCGGCGTCAAAAGTTGAACAATGTTCAACTTTTGAGGCTCGATGCTTGCTCGAAGCTGGCGTCAGCCAATGAAATCCCGTTTATGCAAATCTGCCAGTACAAGCTAGCCAATCAAACCGCGTGTATGCTGGGAGAGACTACGCAGGTCATTTCCTCATATTCAAAAAAATGGAGGGAAAATTCATTATAGCGGTAGTGAATCACCCGGTGCTGTATGATCAGTCTCTGTTCATCTACCGGGATACAAACCGGAGGAGCGAGGCATGGAGGGAGGTGGCAGAGACAGTGGGTGAAACTGGTAGGTTTTCGCCTGTTTGGGGATTTTATATCCAGTTTACTTCGTTTTAACATTGCTATTGCTTTGTATGTCGGGGGTGGGAGATTCATGTGATTGGTTGTTGGTCGCGTTGCTCGCAAAAAATCGCCATGCCTCAGACACGCCCAGCTTGAAGCTTTTTCGACGCTTGTAGTGTAGACGGGCCGTTACTCACTCAAAAAGTTATGTGCACCCCTGGATATAAGGCTGGGTTGCTGCCTGACTCACTGCTGCTGTTTTCCTTCGATCATGAGAAAGTAACACATGTTGTCGGATATTTAAACTCTGTGTTTTGCAATGAAGCCAGCTTTTGATAAGATGCGCTTCAGTGGCTTGGATGTGGAAGGCGACTTTTTGTTATCCACACTTTGACATTTCCTACCAGACAAGATCAACTTAATGAGGCACAGCTCAGTATGAAGTTGGAGGGGTTTGCCAGCTGACATGACTGAGCACACTCATCGCACAGGTGGGAGGTTTTCTTTCCTGGGACTTATGGACCAATGAAAAATTACTCGACTAACATTTTTTTTAGCCGACTAACGTTCATTCTACTAGATGAAGGCAGCCCTACTGCTAGCTGATAGTTGGTGCTTGTACTACCTCACAAAATAAAGGAGACATGTAGAGCTTTCTAAACAAACAGGAAGTCAAAACCTCTGCAGGGTACCTTTTTAAGAAATTGCAGCTAGCTGTGGCCGCCGCTCAGCCAGGCATCACTATCCGGATATCTGACTGCTGTGGTAATGAGTTATTTTTAAAGAGTGACAGTGTGGAATACTCTAGTTCTAAATTCAATCACACTTATTTTCTTCTTCTGCAGTACTGTCTTAGATGCTGTGTGTGTTGGTGGTTAAGTGGTTGATCTTCTCTTTCCGCAGGACATGAGGAACTTGAGGTTCGCCCTGAAGCAGGAAGGTCACAGCAGGAGGGATATCTTCGAGCTCATCTTCAAATACGCCTTCCCCCTCTCACACGGTCTGGTAAGGCAGATTCTCACGCTACTGCCCCCTACTGACCGACACACAAAAGGGTGATTGGCTAGCAAATGAATTCAATTAAGATACAGAAGGAACCCCTATTTTCTCAGATGGTTTGATCTACATTGGTTGGATAAGCCTGTGTTCAATACTATACAATCTAGAGCAAAATAAACATTATGTACTGTATGTAGGAATCACTTTAAACAAAACACTCCCCTGCCTTTTAGTTTGAAAACAAGTCCAGTTTTGATCCTTGAGTGCATCAGCTCTTGTGTGTCACAACAAAAAAAGTTTTCGGATGTCTGTGTAAAAAGAAAAACTGCCATAAAATTATTTATTCATATAATTTCCCACTTTCCATTTTTCACCAGCTTCTGTCGTGAACATCACTACCAAATATTCATTTGTTTTAAAGATTTTGTAACTTTTTAAATGCCAATTTGTGTACATAAAGACCACCGATACAGCAACAATGTTCCTAGTGGAAACGAGGCTGCACATAAGGAAGTTGCTCAATTGGAAAGTTGTAAAAACTATTATCGTCAAAGCCAGGGCTTTATATTAAAAGCCTGATATTATTGAATGTATGTTTTCTGCTGTAATGGCCCTGGGATCAAAACTCAAACAAACTGTGCCATATGAATTATCACAGCCAACATGATCCGATATCCAAAAATATCCCTAGTGATACACAGGGGTGAAAGCAGCAAACCATATTCGCTGATAAAGGAGATGTTCATCCAGTCCTCCTGCATTGCTTCAAAGCAAGTGTTGAATGCAGAGATGCAGCCCCCTCAAGCCATCAGCTGCCCACCCACACCACAGCTCCATCAGCTGGGCTAATACTCCTGCATGCTACATGTGTGTCAGAGCTAGCCTCAGCAGAGCTAATGTCTTTATTATGGGCCAGTGGACACATTAAAATCTGTACATTTATTCTGCCAAATACCCCCTGGCTGTACTGGACACCAACCAAGCAGGCAGCGTTTGTATTAAGGATTTTGTATAGCTCATGTTTTACTCACACGAGTGAATTCAGACATTCACTGTTCAATTTCTGAATGAAGAACTGGGGCACATCTTTCTGGCTTAGTAGTGGAAAATAACCCAAACAAGAACAAACGTAAGCCGTGACTCTAAATGGATCATATCAGTAAGAACCATCTTTTTTGACTGTTGGTTAGACAGAAAAAAATCACTTTAAAAGATGTTCAAATACATCACATGTCTCAGTTCTACAATGTTTATAATAAATAAAAGGGGAAAGTAATTTGACAATTGATATTTGAAATAACTTCGACCATCACACCAACCTGAAAACATTGTTACCACACAAAACTTACAAAATTATTTTGTTATCAATTGTTCCTTGTGCGGGAATGCTAATGGGATCATTCAAATAATGCTGTTATTACATGGGGAAACACACCAGTTTCTCCCCAGAATCTGACAAAATATGACCTGTAAATCAGTTCTTCTCATGTTTTAGTCCTGCTGCTAAAACCTTACTATCCTAGCGACTCAGGTTCTGGTCCAGGCTCTCGTCATCTCACGCCTAGACTACTGCAACTCCCTCCTGGCTGGTCTACCTGCATGTGCCATCCGACCTCTGCAGCTCATCCAGAATGCAGCGGCTCGTCTGGTTTTCAACCTTCCTAAATTCTCCCACACCACTCCGCTCCTCCGCTCCCTTCACTGGCTTCCGGTAACTGCTAGAATCCACTTCAAGACACTGGTACTTGCTTACCGTGCTGCGAATGGATCTGGCCCTTCCTACATCCAGGACATGGTTAAACCGTACACCCCAGCGCGTGCACTACGCTCTGCATCAGCCAAACGACTCGTTGCGCCCTCGCTGCGAGGGGGACCCAAGTTCCCATCGGCGAAAACACGTGGGTTTGCTATCCTGGCTCCAAGATGGTGGAATGAGCTCCCCATTGACATCAGGACGGCAGATAGCTTGCACATCTTCCGGCGCAAACTGAAAACTCATCTCTTTCGACTCCACTTCGAGCGTTAGAACGATTAACGAAGCACTTTTATACCAATAAAGGACTGGATTACCTAAAGCCAGTTGAGTAGCACTTGAAATGTTTGGCTCTATGAAACCTGATATACTTATATGATTCTGTTTTCTTCAAGGTTGTGTCTTCCTGGTCGAATGTACTTATTGTAAGTCGCTTTGGACAAAAGCGTCAGCTAAATGCAATGTAATGTAATGTAATCCTAAAATCTTATTCATAAAAATTCTCCGTGTCTCCTCTGGGTGCAGCCACTCTTTGCATATGTGACTCAGGAGAAGTACGGGGAGAACGGCTGGGACATCTACAAACCCATAGAGGAGTTCAGACGGCAGGTAAGGCAGCTTTAGGACTCTACTATTACAGATGTATTACCTACTCCTTATCAAGACTCATTGCTACGAGGCATAGCTCTGTTTTGTTTGTTAGTAAAATACACCCTAAGTTGAGTAGAAAAGGAGCATTTCTGCGTATGAAGTGACCAACTGATCATTTTCCTTCGCAGGGCTTACCCAATAACAAGTGGCGTATCACCTTCATCAATAAGAACTACGAGCTGTGCGACACCTACCCCACCGTGCTGGCCGTACCCTTTAAGAGTAAAGAGGAGGACCTCAGGAGAGTGGCAGCCTTCAGGTCCAGAGGACGCATACCAGTGAGTCCAAACAGATCTGCATTCAACTTATTTCAACCAATCAGCTGTTGGTATGGTACTGCACTGGACCCTGTACTGCACATGCTGCAACTATAACAACAGTTTCCAAGAAAAACAACACAAACCGCTACTAACAGTTTGACTCTTTTCACTTTACTTCTCTATATTTAAGTGTTTCTGTGATAGAGTATGTCATTTAATACGACCATCCATCCATCCATCCATCCATCTTCTCCCGCTTATCCGTGGTCGGGTCGCGGGGGTAGCAGTTCCAGCAGAGCCCCAAACTTTCCTTTCCCTGGCCACATCAACCAGCTCTGACTGGGGGATCCCAAGGCGCTCCCAGGCCAGCGAAGAGATATAATCCCTCCACCTGGTCCTAGGTCCACCCCTTGGTCTCTTCCCAGCTGGACGTGCCTGGAACACCTCCCTAGGGAGGCGCCCAGGTGGCATCCTAACTAGGTGCCCGAACCACCTTAACTGGCTCCTTTCGACGCGAAGGAGGAGCGGTTCAACTCAGAGTCCCTCCCGGATGACCGAACTTCTCACCTTATCCCTAAGGGAGACACCAGCCACCCTGCGGAGAAAACCCATCTCGGCCGCTTGTATCCGCGATTTCGTTCTTTCGGTCATGACCCATCCTTCATGACCATAGGTGAGGGTAGGAAGGAAAATGGCCCGGTAGACGGAGAGCTTTGCCTTCTGGCTCAGCTCCCTTTTCGTCACAACGGTGCGGTAAAGCGACTGCAGTACCGCTCCCGCTGCTCCGATTCTCCGGCCCATCTCACGCTCCATTGTTCCCTCACTCGAGAACAAGACCCCGAGATACTTGAACTCCTTCACTTGGGATAAGGACTCATTCCCTACTTGGAGTGGACAGTCCATCGGTTTCCTGCTGAGAACCATGGCCTCAGATTTGGAGGTGCTGATCCTCATCCCAGCCGCTTCACACTCTGTTGCGAACCGATCCAGTGAGTGCTGAAGGTCGCAGACCGATGAAGCCATTAGAACCACATCATCTGCAAAAAGCAGTGGTGCAATCCTTAGTCCACCGAACTGCAGACCCCCTCCCCCACGACTACGCCTCGAAATCCGACCCATGTATATTACAAACAGGATTGGTGACAAAGCGCAGCCCTGGCGGAGGCCAACCCTCACCGGAGGCCAACCCTCACCGGAAATGGGTCCGACTTACTGCTGAGGACCCGGACACAACTCTCGCTTTGGGAGTACAGAGATTGGATGGCCCTGAGTAGAGACCCCCTCACCCCATACTCCTGCAGCACTTCCCACAGTAACTCCCTGGGAACTCGGTCATACGCCTTCTCCCAGTCTACAAAACACATGTAGACCGGATAAGCGTACTCCCAGGCCCCCTCCAGGATCCTTGCGAGAGTAAAAAGCTGATCCGTCGTTCCACGACCAGGACGGAATCGGCATTGTTCCTCCTCAATCTGAGGTTCGGCAATCGGCCTGACCCTCCTTTCGAGTACCTTAGAGTAAACTTTCCTGGGGAGGCTGAGTAGTGTGATGTCTCTGTAATTGGCACACACCCTCTGATCCCCCTTTTTGAAAAGGGGAACCACCACCCCGGTTGGCCACTCCTTCGGTACTGTTTCTGACTTCCACGCAACGTTGATGAGACGTGTCAACCATGACAGTCCCTCAACACCCAGAGCCTTCAGCATTTCTGGGCGGATCTCATCCACCCCCGGGGCTTTGCCACTGTGGAGTTGTTTGACGACCTCAGTGACCTCCCCCCGGGAGATTGGTGTTGATCCCCTGTGCTCTGCCTCTAACATAGAGGGTGGAGTTGTCGGGTTCAGGAGTTCCTCAAAGTGTTCCTTCCAACGCCCTAACACTCCATCAGTTGAGGTCAACAACGTCCCATCCTTACTGTACACAGCTTAGATGGTTCCCTGCTTCCCCCTCCTGAGGTGTCGGACAGTTTTCCAAAACAACTTTGGTGCCGCCCGAAAGTCCTTTTCCATGTCTTCTCCGAACTTCTCCCACACCCGCTGCTTTGCCTCGGCCACGGCTGAGGCTGCTGCCCTTCGGGCCTATCGGTACCTTGCAACTGCCTCGGGTTTCCCCCGGGAAAACAAATCCCTGAAGGCGTCCTTCTTCAGTCGGACGGCTTCCCTGACCACCGGTGTCCACCAGGAGGTTTGAGGGTTACCGCCCCTTGAGGCACCTAAGACCTTGAGACCACAGCTCCCCGCCGCGGCTTCGGCAATAGAGGCTTTGAACACCGACCACTCTGGTTCAATGTCCCCAACCTCCACAGGAATGTCCGAAAAGCTCCACCGGAGGTGTGAGTTGAAGGCCTCCTGAACTTTGGCCTCCTCCAGACGTTCCCAGTTCACCCGAACTACACGTTTGGGCTTACCAGGTCTATCCAGAGGCTTCCCCCGCCACTCGACCCAACTCACCACCAGATGGTGATCAGTTGACAACTCCGCCCCTCTCTTTACCCGAGTGTCTAAAACATACGGCCTCAGGTCCGATGATACGATAACGAAATCGATCATGGACCTTCTGCCTAGGGTGCTCTTGTACCACGTACACTTATGAGCATCCTTATGTTCGAACATGGTGTTTGTTATGGCCAATCCATGACTAGCACAGAATTCCAGTTACAAACCACCACTCCGGTTCAAATCAGGGGGGCCGTTCCTCCCAATCACGCCCCTCCAAGTGTCTCCATCATTGCCCACATGTGCGTTGAAGTCTCCCAACAAGATTAAAGAGTCCCCTTCAGGAGCCCCATACAGGACTCTTTCCAGGGTCTCCAAGAAGGCCGTATACTCTGAACTGCTGTTTGGTGCATAAGCACACACAACAGTCAGAGTTTCCCCCCCCATAACCCGCAGGCGTAGGGAGGCGACCCTCTCGTCCACTGGGGTAAACTCCAACAACGAAGCACCCAACCGGGGACTTGTGAGTATCCCCACACCCGCCCGGCGCCTCACACCTTGAGCAACTCCGGAGAAGAATATAGTCCAACCACTATCCAGAAGTAAGGTTCCAGAGCCGATGCTGTGCGTAGAGGTGAGCCCAACCAGATCCAACTGGTAACGCTCCACCTCCCGCACAAGCTCCGGCTCCTTCCCCCCCAGAGAGTTCCACGTCCCCAAAGCCAGCTTCTGTCGCCCGGGTCTAGTCCGTCGAGACCCTCTGCTTTCACTGCCACCCTTATGGCAGCGCACCCGACCCCATCGCTGTTTCCCGTAGGTGGTGGGCCCGCGGGACGGAGAAGCGGAGGTGTTGCCCACATTGCCTTTTCGGGCTGTGCCCGGCCGGGCTCCGTGGCAAGCCCGGCCACCAGACGCTCGCAGACGAGTCCTCCTTCTGGGCCTGGCTCCAGAAGGGGACCCTGGGCTTCCTCCGGGCCGGGTATCCTCACTTCTTTGTTGTTCTTTCATGAGGTCTTTTGAACCAATCTTAGTCTGGCCCCTTGCCTGAGACCAATTTGCCATGGGAGACCCTACCAGGAACACAAGGTTCCAGACAACACAGCCCCCAGGTTCATCAGGGCACACAAACCTCTCTACCACGGTAAGGTGCTGGTTCTTCAGAGAGGTTTAATACGACCCACTCCTCCAGATAATAGCTAATTGCGATCTTTTGGTATTTCAATTTTCATATTATGTTGGAGGGATTGTTTTTTTTCCGCCTCTTTATTCTCATAACAAATATATACAATTATTTTGGTGTGATTTATTTATTTCTTCCAAGAAGATCTATACCAAACCAATATGTTTAGTTAATTCTGGAGAATACGGTTTGTAGGCTGGGTTATCTCTGCTTTTCCATAATACTTCATTCAAACTAGTCAAACTACTATAATACTATTTTAACACACATTTAGCCTTTAACAAATATTGTGCTCCCTGCAATCCCTCCCACATTGCGTTTTCGATAAGATTTACAATAATTGTGCACCCAAGTCTAAACTGTGGTTTCATCAGCCTGCTCTCGTGTCCGTTGCAGTAAAACGTTGTGCTTTTATTCAGTCTTTTTTTACTTTTTCAATCCACCTGACTCTGTTGAATGTATTTCAGGTCCTGTCATGGATCCACAGGGAGAACCAGGCGGTGATCGTCCGCTGCAGTCAGCCTCTGGTCGGGATGTCCGGGAAGAGAAACAAAGATGACGAGCGCTACCTGGACGTGATCAGAGAGGCCAACGACACCCCCAAACTCACCATCTTTGACGCGCGGCCCAGCGTTAACGCCGTGGCTAACAAGGTGAGGGGGGGGGGGGGGGAAACTCTCAGGGGTCAAAGGGGTGGTCTGACAGAAAACACTTACCCCCATCAGGCTGTCAGAAACAGCGGTACTGAGGGGGATGGAAAGCAGCAGATGGAGAGGTCACTCCTGAGAAAGCTTACTGTTATTATGGCATGGCGGTTTTCCTTTGAATAGAGTGAGAATAAGTGGGAAATAATAAATAAATGATTATTTGCATTACAAATAAATCTATTAAGATATATTTTCAATTAATTATATAGTATAAAAAATGAAATAGCATCCACTGTTTCAAGATGACAAATTATGTCACGTTTTGTGCGACCAGCAGTCAAAAATCCCAATGTATTCAGTATAAAACAAAATCAGAATTAAATTGTCATTCAACATTTTTTATATATTTTACCGTTATATATTTTTAATGTTGTAAGTCTGTGTTCTCATCCCAGTTTTCTATGCACATAAAGAAAATTATTTATTTTGTATTTCACTAGTGGCTGGGGTAGGAAGTATTTTTCATCAAATGTATTGATTGAAAAAAATGCCAGTTCTTAATGTGCAATGGAAACAGAATTTTTTATGATCAAACATAAAACATGCATCCATAAAACAAACAGAAACGCGATATTTCCATCGTATGGTCCACATTTTCTTTCTCTCTGTTTGAGCTTTGACTCTTTTGACAAAACCTTGTTGCAAAATGTTCTTCTGAAACAGTTGTTTAGCCGGCATCTTTGAGAATTCTGTTACCGACTATTTATCTCATGCATTAATATCGGGATGTTTTCATAACAGTAGAAGGAACTATAACTAGCTTGACTCGTGTCAAGATATTCTATAATCAAGGAGTGCCACAATATCTGTTTTGTTAGTCATGGAGATAATGAAAGAATCAAACTATCTAGGTCACAAACAAAACATATTCAGTCTTTTGAAATCTGACCTGAGGATTAAGGCCTGGGAGTGGAATCTTCAGTATCAACATTTATAAAGATTACATTTCTGATTCATGTTTAACGTGTGTCAGGCTGCTCTGTTATCATGGGGTGTCATACATGGTCATCTCCTGTAGTCCGTATCTGTTTGCAATAGTATATAAACGTCAAAATAATGAAAATATGATGTACTCTTAAAACAAAATCAATTTGTGCCGAACATATTGAACTTTTTTTGTCAATTTCAGAGATTTATTCATCGTATTATTTTGGCATTAGTTAGTATTTTGGATCATGAGCTGCATTGCTTGAAACACAAACATTTTCTTCACAGTTAAACATACTCTCTTTTATGGGTATTTAGTATTTTTCCTAGAGAATCATAATAAATCAGTACTTTATATATTTCGAGGGAAATTGGGTTTTGTGATCGTTGCTCCATTTAAAAAAAATAAAAATAAAATAAAAGGTTAAAAGTGAGTTAAAGTAAGAATATGCAATAAATAAAATAAAATATTTATATACACAGAATAAGTTAAAGTAAGAATGTGCTATTGAAAGATTAAATAAATAACATTAAATAGATTACATATATTTACATAAATATAAGAAATTAAAGATGACTGCAATCAAAAGTAAAAAAATTAATCAAAAAATATATTTATATAAGAAAACATTAAAGTAGGAATGTGTAATAAAACATATTATATGAACAAATTGAATAAATAGATATATATTAGGGCTGTCAGTCGATTCAAATATTTAATCGCGATTAATCGCATGATTGTCCATAGTTAATCGCAAATTAATCGCACATTTTTTATCTGTTCTAAATGTACCTTAGAGGAATATTTTTCAAGTTTTTAATACTCTGATCAACATATGAGTGGACAAATATGCTTTATGCAAATGTTTATTATCATTTGAACAATGACAAATATTCCCATGAATATTAAACACAACAACCTCTGAACATTACAAATATTCGCCTCAATTCAACCTGGAACATCTCTCATTCAATAATACAATACTGTGTGTGTGTGTGTGTGTGTGTGTGTGTGTGTGTGTGTGTGTGTGTGTGTGTGTGTGTGTGTGTGTGTGTGTGTGTGTGTGTGTGTGTGTGTGTGTGTGTGTGTGTGTGTGTGTGTGTGTGTGTGTGTGTGTGTGTGTGTGTGTGTGTGTGTGTGTGTGTGTGTGTGGTGTGTGTGTGTGTGTGTGTGTGTGTGTGTGTGTGTGTGTGTGTGTGTGTGTGTGTGTGTGTGTGTGTGTGTGTGTGTGTGTGTGTGTGTGTGTGTGTGTGTGTGGTGTGTGTGTGTGTGTGTGTGTGTGTGTGTGTTGTGTGTGTGTGTGTGTGTGTGTGTGTGTGTGTGTGTGTGTGTGTGTGTGTGTGTGTGTGTGTGTGTGTGTGTGTGTGTGTGTGTGTGTGTGCAACTCAAGGCATATGCTCGAACGGGAGCTGCCTGGACGCTGCAATCATGTTGCGCACTATCCGTGCTGAGTGTGCTGACTTTTCGTACAATGTCCCACTGTCTGGCTTCCTGCATAAAGTCAAGTGCTCGGCGCAGTTGTGGCGAATTGTCGCTCCTCTGTTTTCATTTAAACAGCTCCATATCCGTTAGCGCAGCTAGCTAGCACCAGATGCTAACAACAACAATGCACGTAAGGTCTCTCTCTCGCTCGCTCGGGCCACACATACACACACCCTCCCGGTCCTCCCAACAGCCAGTCGGTGCCAGCCGGTGAGCGTGGAAGTGTGGTCTGCCACAAGCGGGCGGCAGGAGCGGGGCTGTCAGCATCAGCTTGTAGATGGTATTTTAAACTCGATGCGCTCTGAAACTACGGGGCGGCCGAGGACAAAAAATACACATGCGTTAATCGCGTTAAATAATTAGTGGCGTTAATTTTTTTTGCGTTAACGCGTTATTAACGCGTTAACTTGACAGCCCTAATATATATATTTTTTCACTATATACAGATGTAGCACCTCATTTCAGACTCCAGCTTACAGCTTCCTGCCTACAACCTGCCTAAGACCAGTATCGAGGAATGTTAAGCCCTCCCACTATTTTCTAAGGGGGCGTTGCCAGATTTTCAATTTCAGGTTTTAACCAGGAGATGGCGCTTCATTCACAAATACAGAAAGACAAGTTTCATGGACTTGCAGTTGTGTTTTGAACAGCATTTGAACACATCAATATTTTAGATCAACTAAAGTATATCTAATCTTGTAATTCAATAATATATAGACTTTATATATTAAATAATCATAATAATGTGAATGTTTACATTACACTTCTTTATTTGTTATGCTCATACTTTTACCTTTACAATCGTTTGCTTTAATATGCAGTATATTTTTTGTATATTTTTGTGTTTGCTTCCTCCTGCTCCCTTTCGGACACATACTGTATGATTTATTATTATTATTAATATGAAGATATTATTAAGATAAGATGTTACTTTATTGATTGAACATTTGAGTTTAGAATGTGCTGTCCCACGGTAATTCAGAAGGCTCACAGGTCACATTCCGACCATTATTTAAAACAATAGGTGCTTTCACACCGTCTACAGTTTGATTTGTATAGAGGGAGCTCTGTGGCTGAATGGCCAGCGATTAGGTGTGGCACATTTTATCATAGGTGATCAGAGCTAACTGCCTGCCGTCAGATTTCATTTAAAAAACAGGTCTGATTTTAAGACTATTCCTGCGCTCATAAAGAATGATAAGAATAATGCGTATTGAACTGGTTTCATTCATTAGTGAATTTATTTAACACTAGAACCGCCAATCGGGTCAATTTGTGTGATGTGTCTTGTGTGTGTGCAATGTAACTTTTTTTCAATAAAATAATAAAGTCTCCCAGTCCGTGACTTTTCCTGAAAGTGTGTTATGTAGCACCCTATGTTGTTAAAAATTGCAGTCTAATAGCAGGATTTGACGGTTTTAGGTAGGCCTATACAAAAACCTCTGGCGGTTCTAGTGTTAAGGTAATTAGGTACAGTAGAAGCCCTTTTTTATCAGTAACGAATTTAGCAGTTGAACATAAAAGTCAACTAACTGAGGGACACTTGCAATGACAGTGTTGTGTCTAACTGTAAGCTTGTCACTCAGAGTAACCTACAGTTAATTTAGCTGCTGGAGAAGAAAGATCAGGGGGGGGGGGGGAGAGAGCTGTGGTTGATGGGCCATTAGTTGTGTAAATACACAACTGAGAGCTGCCGTTTCATTCAGACTGTTTACAAAACGGTAACAACGGACTATTTTTCTTAGCGGATGCATGTCAATTTAAATCAATACAACTATTTTTTAAATCAATAAAAACATTTTATAAATCCATAAAAGCATTTCAATTAATATTGGGAGTCATGTCATTACTTTGTTGAAAATGTGGCCATGTAATAAGCGGGATAATTTGCAGCGACTTGATCCTTATGGGGAAAATAACAACATTCATGCTGATCAAGATCCCTCCCCTACGTGTTGGGATCCTGATCTGCCGACGAGGCTCCATTAAAATATAAATATGTTTAGTGAATTACTGAGTTTAGGCACGTTAATAACGTTTTAATGAAGTTGAATACAGTATATTCATATGTGTCAGTGATTTCATGTCAATTCGGCGAACATAAACATAAATGATCGTGGTGAAGATGATGATTAAATTGGGATTAAAAATCGAGAGTCGGGCTGCATTTCCTCCCGTTCATTTTTTTCGACTAAACAACATTATTTTGTTAAATAACAACATGGTGATGTTTTGTAAATGATTACATGTCTCTTATTTAGCACAGAGTATGATATCCGTGACATATGGATCCAAAGTTCCGCTGTACATCCAGCATACTGTATCTGACTTTATTTCACATGAGCTCCAGTGTGGAACCCCACTGCACCCCCTGGTGGATCAATGATCCATTGCAGCTGGCTTCATTATAATTACATTTATTTATCATGGGGGAGGTCTCAAGTCAAGCTGGAGGTTTTCCCTTGAGCGAGGGCAGATCACGTACCAATCACGGCCCTCGCGTTTCAAACTGTCTGAAATGAAGCGCTACATCTGTTGTGAAAATGTACAATAAATTAGACATGATATACATAAATGAGAGGATGATAGCTAATCATATTTAGATTCCCCTGAGCAACTGTCCACCATCATATAGGGGGAAACATCCATTGGACCAACACTTCAATTCGGAAAAAACACACTTTTAATACATTTGTGTAATGAATCCTAATGTTTTTCGGGGGCCCCATGTTGAACACTTCCTGAAACAGAAGGTTTCATTTATTGTTGTATCTTGATGTCCCTCCCCAGGCCACAGGAGGAGGCTACGAGGGTGACGAGTACCAAAACGCAGAGCTGGTCTTCCTGGACATCCAGAACATCCACGTCATGAGGGAGTCCCTGAAGAAGCTCAAAGACATTGTGTACCCCAACGTGGAGGACTCTCATTGGCTGTCCAGTCTAGAGTCCACACATTGGCTAGAACACGTTAAGGTCAGAAAAAGAGTCATCAGCCGCTTTCACACCAAGTACTTTGCCGTACTTAGTGCCGGAACTTAGTACCCCAGGGCACTAAGTACCAATCACGTTCACACCGGAGTACTTTTCCCTGAGGGAAGATTATGCAAATGAGCCGCTGACGTCACTTCGTCTTCTTCTGCTTTGGGTTTACTGGCAGGCCGCAAACAACTTCACGGCGTATACTGCCACCCGAAGTCCCCGAGTTGGGGACTGGCTTCAGTAGAAGCTGCTGGGACTCCCAGCAGCTTCTACTGAAGACTTATGAGTAAATCGCCAGAACGCCGACACCTCCTCATCAGTCCACCACTCCCATGTTTTTTTGTTGTGTTGCCATAAGTGATTCTCTCTCCGTTGGTGCCTGGGGCTAATGCTAATCCTAATCTGCCAGCAAATACAATGGCGACTTCAAAAAACTTTTCAGAGTTTTATGGGGCGTGGTTTGCAATTCGCCCAGCCAATAGAAATTGGTACTTTTTGGTACTCTCTAGCAGGCACTAACAATGGGGGTAAAAGTTCCCGGCACTAAGTACTCTTTTTGGTGTGAACGCGACATAAGGGGTACTAACGGAACTAAACGGGAAAATTATGGGTAAAAGTACTCCGGTGTGAACGCGCCCATCGCTTCATTTAGTGCCTTTTTTATAGCAGGAAAGTCAAACATACTGCGTTGTAAAGGTTAGAAATGACTATGTGCAATTTAATGTCAGTCAGCATCTTCAGTACAAAAGAGTTTGGTTTAACTTAACCTTCCTCCTTAATAGTCCCATGGTAGTTTGTATGGTGGTGTGTCAGGATTACTAACCAGATGTGGAAATTAATGTACAATCATTTCTAGGTCTTGAAGAAAGGTTTTGATCATAAAGTAAAATATTATATTGGTCAGTTCCAGATAACGCTGACTAAATGTTTTCTGCCTTTGTAGATGCACTGTGATCTGAGTTGTAAGACACATGTGTAAATGATAAACTGAGGCGTTTAAATTATAGAATTGGATTTATTTTTCTTAAGAAATGTCAGGTTGTTCATAATATTTTGTTAAAAGATTTGTTAATTAAATGTGAACATTTTCAGAATATGCTAATGCACATTTTGGAGTTCACGTTATTTATAGGTTATTATGCTGTGATTGTACTAGTCCGGCCCCGGGCTGTATGTGGCCCCTAAACTCAAATTATTTATTATAACTACTTTATAGGCTGTAATTTGGATTTTGTGTTTGTTGCGTATTAATAGGTTTTTAAAAAGGGCTTTTAACTGGGCATATGTGCTGCAATCGTGAGTCAATTGTGCTCATGTGCTGTCATTGGGCTCAAGTGTTTTTCTGTAATGATCTGCTCTTGTTTGTTTTTATTTCAATGCCATGCCAGGGAGTGGAGATAAACATTGGCCCCTATGGCTAAATCTGGCACATTTACATGCTGGACTCAAGTGCTCATGTTAATTAATGTGCATTGTCCCCTCTTAAATATATAAATACAAATACTGGTTTCTAAAAGTCCTTTGTGTGTGCAGCTGGTGTTGTCAGGAGCCATCCAGGTAGCAGACAAGGTCTCCAGCGGACAGTCTGTGGTGGTGCACTGCAGCGACGGCTGGGACCGCACCGCTCAGCTCACCTCTCTGGCCATGCTGATGCTGGACAGTCACTACAGAACGCTCCGAGGCATCCAGGTCAGTAACAGCACAGCAGCATAATGACAGGAGAGTGCTCATCCACACCAGAGAGCACCACAGTTACCTTCAATCGCACCAGTGCAGCGCTTTCACTGCACTTAACAGTAATGGAATGTATCTTGTTGAAGCTTTAGTGAGATGAATGGACAGGAAGTGAAGCTCTGTGTTGTTTCAGGTGCTGATTGAGAAGGAGTGGATCAGCTTTGGGCACAAATTTGCTTCGGTAAGTAACTCCTCTCTTTAGAATCAATCGGTTGAGCTTTGTCTTTTTTAATATCCAGGGTTCGTACAGGTGCTGGAAATCCTTGAAAATGATTGAAATTGTACGAGGTGTTTTCAAGGTTTGAAAAGTGCTTGAATTTTAGGAATGGTGCTTGAATTTGGGATAAGTGCTTGAAATTGTAAATGCTTTACTTCGACTTCTATATTTTCTTTTAATCTAAAAAGCGGAGTGCGCTTAATTGCTTCGCTTTTACATAAAACATCCGGCCTTCCCGCTATGCGCGTGACCGGCAAGCATACTTGCCAACCCTTCATAGCCCTCTCCCGGTTTCCTCCCGGGGTCATATTTCTCCCGCATTTCTCCCGATTTCTGACAAAATCAGATTTACACACGACTGTTTCCACTCTGACTTTTATTACAGCTACACCATTGTTTGGTTTCCATGGTAGCGCGTCTCTTTAGCAGTGTTGTGCTAGTTACTGAAAACCAGTAACTAGTTACCATTACTAGTTACTTCATTTCAAAAGTAACTCAGTTACTTTACTGATTACTTACACCAAAAAGTAATGCGTTACTGTGAAAAGTAACTTTTAGTTACTTAAAAAAAGGGCTCCCATTAATGCCCTTATAGCCTTCATTTCAGTACTGTTATTGCATTGGAGAATAATACCATCTGTTGATCAACTTGTGTTGTGGCGGGGGCTCTAAGGCCCCCCCCCTGCCTCTACGCGTCCTTTTGTGAATGGGTCAGATTAACAGAGGAAGAATTCACAGCAACCATTGGTAAGGTTATAACAAATATGCTGATTTAATGGCAAAAGATACAATAACACAACATCACAAAGTAATCCGGATTACCCCGGCTCTTGTTCCTCCCGCCGGGAGATCTAACTTACTTGTCTTGTCAGCCGGAGGAAGAGAGAATGAACCAAAGACAGAACAGGCTTACATGCCAAAAACAAACAGGAGGAGCTGTGGTATGCTCCTCCTTTTTAGTTTAACAAACACATCTGGCTCGTATTCCTGCATCTTCCACACACACACACATTCTTCAGACTTCCCTCTTGGCTCCCCTCCCCCATAGTCTCCTGTCCTGCATAACTGCCCCCCCCCCCCTTTATGTTGTAGCAATTTTAGTCCTCACATTTATGAAAGAATAAAACGGAGAAATCAATATAAAACACAAGTACAGGTATCGTTTTGAGCAGTAATCCCATCTAGCTGCTGCACACACATCTTTATCATTAACATAAGTTTGATTGTTCTTGTAGCCTAAAGGCTTCTGTGAACTTCCCTTCACCTCGGAGTCTGCTTTACTGGACTGAATACATTTATTGATAATTCAGAAGGACTATTGTCTCTCTTAACTGTGTGACTCAATTCTCAAGGCTTTTTATGGGTCTGCCTGTCATGCATCATTAACTACAAGAATGTAACTGCATTAAATCTGAGGAAAATCCCCCCCTGGCTTCCCCTGCTACTTGCACAGACTATTGATAATTAACAGAGAAACTCAAGGGGCCTCCTTCCATATCTGGAAATTGCAACAAGACTTTCTGCCATTCAAACGTAACACTTCTTATATATCAGGTGATAAAATCTTCAATTCTCCACATTCCCCCTTTTTATCTCATTCACAAGAGATAAACTTAAACAAGGCATTTTGAAACATATCCCCTATCATTCTTTTCTACTGTGTCCGTCTCCCAACATTGTATAAATCTATCAGAAACTGAGACCCAAAGTACTTGAAATCTTTGGGAACAGAACACCACTTCCATGGCAGTGAAGGAACCATGAGAGGTGTAACCTGAGTGCTAGAAAGCAGTCTCCTTGTGGTGAATCATCAGCCCCCCCCCCCTCGGAGGAATAGCCAACAAGGACAGCTGATGGGGAGGGGGAGATGCGGCTTTCCCTTCACGGGTGGAACTGATCAGAGAGAAGTAGACTCCTCTGCTGCCTCGACAAGTCCCCCAGCCCGCTGACAGCCGCTTCCAAGTCGTCTGCTGCATGGATGTCTTCGAGGTCCTTCTCCTCCAGTCCGCTGATGACAGCTTCCAAGTCGTCTGCTGCATGGATGTCCTCGAGGTCCTTCTCCTCCAGTCCACTGATGACAGCTTCCAAGTCGTCTGCTGCATGGATGTCCTCGAGGTCCTTCTCCTCCAGTCCGCTGATGACAGCTTCCGAGTCGACCTCCTTGACGAGAGCCAGATCCGTCCTGATGTCGTCCCCTGGTCCTAGCAGGTGGTTTCCCCGCCACACACTGGCTCCCGTGGTACGAGCTGTCCCCCTTTCCTCCTATGCGGACGGCATGAGAGATCCGCTGGGTCACTCGGTCGGGGCCGGAAAGCCTGGGGTTGAGCCACTTTGTCCTGATGACCTTCAGCCAGACGAACTCCGCTGTGTCGGCCTCCTGGTTCCCCCTTTTGGCGCCAGCAACCTGTGTGGAGAAATCTGATACAAATCCCTCAAGCCTACGCTCAGGGCTCCTGGGCCCTCAGCTTTTTGATCCCCCAAGGTCAACTTCTTCAGTATTCCATTCTGGAATTACATCTCTCACAGTAGCCCCTTGGCCACTGATTCTGCATCTGTGTTACCTGTTATAACTCAATCAATATTAGAGACATGTCAACATTCATCAAACAGTATCTTATCCCCAGATATGGAGCAGGTCAATTCTAAAACTGTCAATCAATGGTCAGATTGAACAATCGAGTTGGGGCAGCAGGTTCCTTTCAGTCCCTAAATGAAAAATGTACATTGTGAAGTTTACACTCTCCCTTTTTACACATGAACTCATGTGTAACCAAAATCCTGTATGGGAAGAAAACCTTCAGGTAATAATGGATTATAAGAAAATACCAAACATTTTTCCCAAATGTACATCCATCATTTCCACAGTAAACACTTCAGTGAAATGAAGTGTTTCTCTCCATCTTTCAGTCCTAAAAGAAACAGAATCTTCATGTTTTAGTTTGAGTTTCACATTCTGCAACCTGTGGGAGTGCACAAGTGCGGTTTTCCAATTCTGTGGAATTGTGTTGAGCCCCAGAATAATGTGTTAGTCCAAAAACATGCTTGATTAGTCATTGTTTTAAATCATGCAGTTGCACTGATCACATGCAGACATACACTCACATTCACACTCACACTGTCAGGTTGTAAAGTCAAGTTTGGTCAGGTACACCCCAGAGTCAGTCCTTGACAGTGCCTTCTCAAGTTACACTGTCGGTCAGGGTCAAAGGTCAGTTGGTCTCAGTCTTTTTGGGCCATGTGTCGTGCTCTGCAGAGACTTTGATATTTCAGCATAGGTCAGTATCCTTTGTCTACAAAAATCTGTATATATGGAGCGCCATCATTTATTAATTCACAATTACAACTATAATGTTCAAGATATCTCTAACTTTTCATCGGAACAGCTGTTTCCCATATTCCCTGAAAAGTGTTAGCCAAAAAATGTTCACTTCCTTATTGTACTACTACTGCAGTTTATTAACACCTAATCTATATTAAAATGTCTAATAGATCTATTTCAGAAACTTGTGCATATAATTATTATCTTGAGTCAAACCATTACTAGGACCTGTGTAGCTTTTCATAGGTCATTATACACATTTATCTTCAATTCTGGTCTACCTAAAAACAATGTTAAACTCTTTAGCAGTGTGTGGAACCCCGGGTGTCCGAACATGCAACAATTACTCCCTACTTTATCCTATGGTAATAACTATGGCACAATGGTGAAATCAATACTTTATAGATTGGAATACTATATTTGGCTTGGCACCAGCTCTCCCTTTAGCCTTATCCATACAAATAAAGATTTGTCTTATAGAGTGGTTCCTAACATTACCCTTTTAATGGTGATCAATATTGTAACAAATGAGATCAGTACTTTATTCACAGGTGAATAAAAATCTCTTGAAGAATGATTTGTTAACATGATGAAAAGATTGAAGAATATGGTTCTACTCTGTCATGTCTCCCCCTTTATCCCTCAGTGTGTTTTAGGATGATTCTCATTTTACTTTAATAGTTTCCTCTTTACTGCTATTGTTAATTTACCAATTGATTAATTCATGGTTAATACAACTTCTTATCTTCACTTATTTATCAAGTCAATTCAAGTTCTTTAAATGTGCGCTTATAATAAGTGTGTTTATGTGTAAACTCACTCATACCCGTTGATTCCCTTCCCCTCTCCTCTGGTTTATCTCAAGCCGCGACCCCGGCCACCTCACATTCTGCTCCACCATCTCCTCTGATTCTGACTCCTCCCCCTTTGTCCATCAGCTGTAACTCTTTGAGGCAGCCATCTGCCCAGCTACATCTGCAGCCCCCATCTTGCCGCGTTTTTGCACTGCTTTGCATTTCATCTCCTCCTTCACAGTCTCTCTGCTACTTTATGGAGGGCGGATTCTGCTCTCATGTCCCACACTTTGCTCTTGTGCCAAATCTTGTGGCTCAGCTTGGAACTTCATGCCCTGCTTGAGGGACTGATGCGAGTAGATCTCTGCCTGTCAGCAAGCTGTTTGGTTCTGGATGCCACAGGTGGAGATAGTTCTGGATGCAGTTGTTGGTTCAGCTCTGGTTCTCTGTCTGTCTGGTCTATTGAGAAGGAGCAGTCTCCTGGTTGGGATAGGCCTTTGTTTGCTCAGCGGATCGGGGTCTTAGCCGTCTGACGGGCAGAGAGAGAGAGAGAGTCCAGGTCTCGGGACGCATTACCTATAGAAATTCTAGCACGCTGAGGTTAAATAAATCCAACCCTTTCCACTCTGTCTCTTTCTAATCATACTATTTGTCTTAGTAGTTAACTGCCATCTAAACAACACCATTAATGTCTACTAATGATATTACAAAAACTCCCTCTAATAATCGTTTCGTCCATTGTGACATATTTACCCAAACTAAGTTTTTCAACACCTACATGTTTCCAGCATCGCAGATTTCACACACTATGAAAGAACCTCCCTGTACTTAAAAATCCCACTGCTTGGTCA